AAAAAAGCACCCCACACACGAATAAAGCTCGTGCGGGGGGAGAGGGAGGGGTGAGGATGGTTGTTGGGGGGGGGGGGGAGGGGCGCGGGGGGAGGGGGCGGATAGAAGGGGGGATCGGGCCAACACGATCCGGGCAAACACACACAGAATCCGTGCAAACGCACATTAAATGCGTGCAAGTATACACCAAACATTAAATCCGTGTGTACAAATTAAATCGTGCAAATATACATTAAACCAGTGCATATACACGCTAAATCCGCGAGAATATACACTAAATCCGTGTTTAATCCCGAGCAAATACAAATTAAATCCGTGCAAATACACACTAAATCCGTGCAACTATAACACAGTGAATGCATGCAAATGTACGCTAACGTGCAAGTAAACATTAAATCCGTGCAAATACACGCAATCCGTGCAAACAGACGCTAAATCCGTGCGCATACACACTTCACCCGTGTAAATACGAACTAAATCCGTGTAAATTCACATCAAATGCATGCAAATGCACAATAAATCCGTGTAAACACAAAAAATGCGTGCAAATACACATTAAATCCGTGCGAATATACAATAAATCTATGCAAATCATGCTAAATCCATGCATATACACATTAAATCCGTGCAAATACACGCTAAATCCGTGCAAATACACGATCAATGCGTGTCATGCACGTTAAATCCGTGCAAATCACACCAAATCCATGCAAATACACACACTACACTAAATTCTTGCAAATACACACTAAATGCATGTAAATACATGCCAAATCCATGTAATTACACAGCCTTTGCAAATGCAACTTGGACCTAGGTCGGACATGTGTCCGCATGTGTTGCGTTAAAGGCACCCCGTTTAACACGACATAGGTCTGACATGTGTCGCTGTGTCTTGTGTGTGGGTGCGCTTGTATTTACTTTATTTCAGTGGACATTAAGCAACACACCTTTAAACCGACATAGGTCGGACATGTGTCCGCATGTGTTCTGTTAAAGGCACCGTTTAACAGGACATTGGTCTGACATGTGTCGCTGTGTCTTTGTGTGTGGGTGCGCTTGCACTTCCTTACTTTTAGTGGACATTAACCAACACAGGATTAATTTGACATAGGTCGGACATGTGTCCGCACACCCCGTTTAACAGGACATAGGTCCGACATGTGTCGCCACCCAGGGACTTCGCGGAACCGGGGAGGATGAACTACCTTAGGAGTTCTGAAGTTTCCCTTGCAACCCTGGGCGTCCTCCTGCTTTTTGCGCTCCGCACACGCACTGCTGCGGTTCAGGCTACCGGTGCTCTACTCAGAGTCCGAAGCGTAGAGGCCGGAACTGAGTGAAGCACGTGCAACAACCGAGTAGCTTGATCATTACGTCGTCTCCAGCGTACTGAGGTCTGGACAAAAGGTCGTCGTCCTCGGTGCCGCCGGAGATGACAACGAACTGCAGGTTCGTGTGCTTCCTGGCCGGAGGATTCTACTCTTTTTTTTTGCTGATGGTTTAAGGCGCCTTAACTTGAAGGGATGACCTGCACCGCTCGTGGCCTATCAGCTTTCGGCCGGTGGACTTGTCAACGGCGGCCATGGGGACTTCGGGTGAGACTCCTGCTTGGAAGGTCGGGTTTTTGGAGGTTTGGTGCAGTGTGCGCACCACGCAAGTTTGCCGAGGCTCGCGCCGAGCAGCTTCGCCGCTTTTTCTTTGAGCTGCCAGATGCGGCAGTCCCAAAGTGCCTGTGCTAGAGTCTAATTTGCTCATGCCCTTCTGAAGTTGCGGTTCAGTTGGGCCTTCACCTTCACGGTTTCGCCGCTCAAGGTTTCCAGCACCACCTCCGTCCTGATGACATTCAGGATCGTGCGCTGGTCTGGTATAGCACTGGTGTTCTGCTGAGGCTGCTGCAGCGCGTGCCGCGGGGCATTGAACCTGCGCTTCCATACTGGCAGCCGCACCCTGGCTGGCATCCCTATTACGGCTTTGCTTGGCACAATTGTATGCGAGGTGAGTTCTTTCTCCTGTATGACGATGCTTCTTACTGTGCCGGATCTGGTCTGTGTTTTGATGCGTAGCGAATGTTTGAAGCTTCAAGACGGCTACGGCGGATGGGATAGTTGTTTCTGCTCTGCTCTGCAAGACGCTACCCTCGCCAGTCTAGAACTAGTCATATCCCTCTTCCACAGTGGTGCTCTGTGACCCATGCGTCCCCTGTGGCATTGCTAAGTTTCTTTGGGAACACGACTAACGGTTGCTAGAAAGGGCATGGGTAAGGCGGCGCCTTCTGACATCAGGCCGCCATTTTTGGCTCGATTATGGACGTGCCTGCTTCTGCACTTCACTACGCACGCTCTCATGTCGCCTTGCTGTTCAGGCTTTGCTACGTGTTGTCCTGACTCTTGCGGACACGGTGGGAACGTGCTTCCGCGATGGCACCGAAAGAGCTTGATGTTTCATCGGCTCTTCTCACCAGCTTGCGCATGGTTGTATCCTCGTTGGGACATGGTCTGGTCCTGTTTCGCCGGTAGCCTGTGGCTTATTTTCGCTTCTCTGCGCTCCTTGCCTTGGGCGATTCTGCAAGTCTGAACGCCGGATCGAGCTTTCGAACACTTCAGGTCTGCCTGAGAACGAACGTTGAACTGGACCTCTGAGTGTGAGTTTCCTCTCGGCGGCTTTCGCTCCAGCAACCGTCGATGGCGGTCAATCCCAAAGTGCTCTTCGGATATGATATCCTTAGCCGCGCCCCGGACGTCTTTGAGGACCGGATGTCTTTCCATCGACGAGTTTTGTTGCTAGGTCCTGGGAAAAAACGACTACTTGGACGCCTTGGCTCGCGCCTCTGTTCGCCCCTGAGCCGGTGGCTTATTTCCGCTTCTCTGCCTGCGCTCCTTGTCTTAGGCGATTCTGCAAGTGTGAACGTCGGATCGAGCCTTCGAACACTTCAGGTCTCCCTGAGAACGAACCGCTGCCCGGGCACCGTTGCACTTGGCTGCTGCTGCGGTGCTTCAGCGCGATGGACGCTTGCCCAAGGCGTCGCGCCGAGCCCACCGGACACGTTAGCCCATTGGTTCCGATGTCATACCCGAGGGCGGACCCACCGACTTCGGGCGTTGGCCCCAGACTCGGCTCTACGAACTGATTTGCCGTAGCCGCGGCTCCCTATTCCCCGACCAATAGGAATGCGCGTCTTCGCAGTCGGCCGCGAAGTTCGCGTCAGGTAGGCATGAAGGCGTCTGCCTCCTCACGCCCCGAGTCGACGCAAAGGTCTCGAATTCAGAAAGTTGCGTTCTGGGAGGTTGGGCGGACGTTTCGTGCCGGGCTGTGTCTATTAGTTCAGGATTCATATTGCTGCCGAGTTCCTTGCCTTCTGCGTGGGAGATGTTGAACTGGACCTCTGTGGGCGAGTTTCCTCTCGGCGCCACGCACGGTGTAATACGCAAGCTCAATTTATGGGGACTTGAGGGTTTAGGGTTTAGGGTTTAGGGGTTTAGGGTTTAGGGTTTAGGGTTTAGGGTTTAAGGGTTTAGGGTTTAGGGTTTAGGGTTTGCCGTAGAGTGGCGCAGAAGCGAATGATCTTGGACCAGTGTCTTTTCGAGTGTGTCGTCATGTGACGATTGGGCGTTAAAGCCTGATTGTGGATGGCTCTCTCTTTTAATTCTCCCACCCCACGCCGTCTCAGGCGGCCAAACCACCCAAACCTACTCCTTTTAGGGTTTAGCGCCTAAACTCATTCCAAGGTTTTCTCTCTCTTCAAACCGCAAACCGCAGGGCCAGGTGGGCAGAGCAGGCAAGGGCAGAGCACAGAGGCAGGGCAGGGGCAGGGGGGCCCAGGGGGGCCCAGGGGGCCCGGGGCCCAGGGAGGCTCTGGGGGGCCGGGCAAAGAAGGCCCACACCTGGCCCCTGCCCAAACAGGCCAAAACGCGGGTACGACGTGGGTGCTACGGTCCCCATGGCTGTGGAGAGGCGGGCAGGCGGCGCCGCCCACCCACAGTAGGTGGGCGGCCTGTGCCTTGAGTTTGGGGTTTAGGGTTTAGGGTTTAGGGGTTTAGGGTTTAGGGTTTAGGGGTTTAGGGTTTAGGGTTTAGGGTTTGTTGCTGCTGCACACCGGATCCCGAAACGAATTACAACATCCGACATCTAAGCTCCGTGAAGGCAGCGAAAATCCTGGTTTTAGGGATCCGCCGCCTGGCGGATCAACGAAGAATTTACAGGGTTTTGGGTTTGGGCTCTTAGGGCTTATTGGGTTTATGGGTTTAGGCTTTCTGGGCTTCAGGGAGGTGGGGTTTGGGATCGGTTGGACAAGACTTCCACCCGTGATGGCCCCATCCCCACTCCAGCCGGGCAACCTCCTCCTGCTCTTGCCGCCTGGCGGAACATCAGGCAACAAAACCCTCAACCCTAAACCCGGAACCTCAATCCTTAAACAAGCCATGTCCATGACCGAATGATCTGATCTTGAATTGCAGTAGGTACCCGAGGTGTTGTTGCTGGACCGGGATACTAAATGTCATTTTCGGGTGTTAAACTAACCCCAGACATGTTGAAGAACAACTGCACGACTCGCAAACCAATGGCGAAAGGAACCAACAAGCCTTCTCCCAAAACCCCGAAACCCTGAACCTCTAAACCCCTTCGAAGCTCTAAGCCCCTGGACCCCGGCCCTCGATCCCACACTAATATGCATGGGCGGCGGGGGGGGAGTGGAATAACCGAGAGTTGCCGAGAGTCTGCACTTGGTGGCCGAAATAAATAATCAATAACTAGAATAAGGTTTGGGATTATGATTACTACAATGGAACTCCTATAACTAGTATCAAATGAAATCCGACCAGTAGTGGTCCCATCCATCAACCTCTTCTACCCTAAACCCTATTTAAACCCTACGTGGACCCCAAATAACCTACCTTTTCTAGGGCTCCTTAATATAGTATCTACTTTCTTTATATAAATCCTGGAACAGGTAGGTTATGTGGGGTTGAGGTACACCCTAACATGGGCCTCCGCTCATCCTCCTCCTTCTTGCGCTTGGCCTTCTGCTCCGGCGTCCGCTCGAATGATTCCTCTAAGATCTTGCCTGGAAGCGAACACCCTAAACCCTAAACCGTAGATTCTAGGGGGTTGAGGGGTTGAGGGTTTAGAGTTTAGGGATACCTCCAAGCTCTAGTCTGAGAACAAACGCCTACTTACTTGAGCCGCTAAAGGCTCTCAAGGTTCCTAGGAGATCCTGAACATCCGCGAAAGAGCCTGCGAATCATGGCTTGGGTGAAAGTTGGAAGGCCTTAAACCCACCCCTAAACACGTAAACTTAAACCCCCCCGTACATCCTCATGCCTAAACCCAAAACTTACAGAGCCTTTAGTAGGAACCCTGATTCAAGGCTCAAGTGGGGTGTCCGGGGCGCTCCTAAACTTTTATTTTGGCCTACAGAGCTGCCGTTAGGTCGGGGATTCGGGTTTTAGGGCTTCGTTGAGGGTTTCGGGTGTTGGGGTTTCGCGGGATGGGGGTCTGGATTGGGGTTCCCTAAACCCTAAACCCTAACAACCCACCTTTTTAGAGCTCCTTAACATGATTTCTTGATTTATAAGTCCTTCAAAAGGTAGGCTATTTGGGGCGAAGGTAGGGTATTGTGTGAGCGATGGCGATGAAGGATTTATGGGCCTACGGCTCATGCAGCAGAGCCTGTATATCACAGAACCCTCTTCGAACCTGTTACAGTAGCACTGAAAAACATTGAAGAACCCCTTCAAGAAACTCTCCTCTAGGTACTCAAGCACTTACATACTCTAAACCCTAAGCCTCTAAACCGCTAAACCCTTAAACCTTTGAAACCTAAACCTAATTTCGGCGGAGCACGCAAGGACTTCACGTCCACTCCCTTCTCGTACTGCTTGCCTCACCACAAGTCGCGGGCCCAAAGTGGCGCATTTAGGGGTTAGGGGTTTAGGGTGTATATATATATATATATAGTGAATGGTTTAGGCTTGCACTGGGACCCCAAAACTGTCACATCCAGTTCTGCTGCTTCCGCTGCTTTCTCAGTTTGGCTGCAAACCCGTCAATCCAAGTTTGGGGCGTAAGGGATCTGCAGACGTTGCCGCCGTGGGGGGTCAGAGTAATTAGACGGTCATCTCCGCGTCATGCCTCATGTCACCCAACCCCTTAACCCCCCCGGCCCCCCAAAACCGAAACCCTAAAACCTGAACCCGCAAAACCTTTGCTTCACAGCCCGTTGTAGAACCCTCTAGTACCCTTAAAGCCTTACAGAAGCCCCTGAAGGCACCCCCCCAAAAAAACCTTTGCTGCACAGCCACTCATGCCGTAGTAAGCGAAGAGATCCTTTTCGCGTTCGGCGAACTTCTGAGCCCAGGGAGTTGCCTTCCAGGACTTGATTTCAGTTTCGGGCTTAAGGTTCAGGGCTTAAGGTGTTCTTTAGGGGTTTACGGGGTTGTTGTGTAAGGATATCATAACGGGGCATTTCTAGACAATGTGTTTGTGTGTGCATATGCATATATATATATATATATATATAATGCATGGTAATCGACGTATATATGTACATGTATATGTATATATATATATACATATGTATATGTATATGTTTATGTATGTATATATATATATATGTATGCAGGGAGGGAGAGAGAGAGAGAGAGAGAGAGAGAGAGAGAGAGAGAGAGAGAGAGAGAGAGAGAGAGAGAGAGAGAGACAGAGAGAGAGAGAGAGAGAGAGAGAGAGAGATAGAGAGAGAGAGAGAGAGAGAGAGACAAAGCGAGAGAGACAGAGAGAGAGAGAGAGAAGAGACACAAAGAGAAAGAAAGAGAGAGAGAGAGAGAGAGAGAGCCACAGAGAGAGAGAGAGAGAGAGTCCCGAAACCAAGGAGACCATGTAATGAAGATCCTTGCATTGAATGGTAACCCCATTTGTGTCGCTGGCGATTTCGTAGCAGCCTCGCATCGCGACAAGCCTCACGCGCTGCTCTGAGTCATTGTTGGGATCATGTCTGCATACAACCTCCTCCTTTTCCATGCGTCCTCGACTTTGGGGTCGCGCGCGCTTGTACTTGCAAGCATATGTATACACATTATATGCATATATATATATATATAACATTATAGGTAGATACATGTGTATGTATGTGAAACGCTATTTTAGCAACCGCGCACTTGAGCCAAAAGGTAACGTCAGTGTGAAACAACTGTACATGAGACCCATACCCAAACTATACCCCAAATCCAGTCACGCCTCCCGAGTAGGGATCACGCTTTGCTTTCCCTGCGAGTTCTTTGGGGTATTCCTTCACGCCTTCCCTAAGGCCAGCTCATGCTTTCCAGACCTGACGGTGTAGCCCATTCGACTCAGTAGCTTCGTAGCAGTTTGGCCGTCCAAAGGCTTCGTCATGAGGTCCGCCAGCATGTCTTGCGTGTTGACCTTCTTCAGGCGTATTCTTCCTTGATCCACTATTTCCTGTACCCACAGATAGCAGGTATCAATGTGCTTGACCTTTCCCAGCCCTCGTGGCGAGCCGATGGATATGCCCGCGCTGGCATCCATAGCTATGTGGACAGACAGCTTTACACCCCAGTCCGCCATCATCGCTTGCTCGCCCAAAGTGGTTGAGGCTGTTGATATCAAGCCATAGTATTCTGCTTCTCCAGTGGACAGGGCAATCACAGCTTGCCCCTTGGCTGCTGTCTTCACTGTTGCTTCTCCGAGCTGGATCACAGTTCCAGTCGTGCTTTTCCTAGTCTTGATACACCCAGCATGGTCACTGTCGGACCAAGCATTGATGCTTGTGAAGTGCTCTTGATATGGAATCAATTGCACCAGCCTAGGAGATCCTCGGAGATATCTTGCAGCTCTCTTCAAGAGACCCCAATGGTGTTGTTGAGGTTCTTTCAGCCCTTTCGCTAACTCGCGGACGGTCCTAAGCAAGTCCGGCCTGTCCATAGACAGATAACCGATCCGCATAGCGATAGAACGGTACAGAGCTGCTTCAGCAGTACCAAGTGGAGTCTTGTCCATGTCCTCTTCTTTCACTTTGACCAGTGGAGTGGTCACAGAAACTCCTTTCTCCAGACCCAGCTGCTCCAGAACTAAGTCCACATGTCTTGGGTCGGCTTCCATCTCGATGCCTTCTTGGGTCCACGTCACTAGGCGATTCAAGACAGAGATCTGATGAATCACGCCTGGCAGCTCCGAACCGGGTCTAGCCAGGATGCCCCTTGTCTCAACTGTCCAAACCTTGCCCAGTTCAGCTTCTAGCCACTTGAGCTCTTTGTAGCTTCCAACCACTGTAAAATCATCTCCATGGACGTTGAGTCGCAAAGATTTCTCCTCGTGGAAGTACAGGCATGGGTTGCTTTTTCCTTGCTTGAAGCCCAAGCCCTCCAGAGCATCCTTGATGGCTTTCTCCCAATTGGAAGGTGCATCCCTGGTCCCATACAAGGAACGCTTCAGAAGTCCAACCTTGTCTCGTCCCTCTCCAGCTTCTGGTGGAAGCTCCACAAGGAGTCTCCGACGCACAGGGCTCCAAAAGTGAGCTTTCTTCACATCCAGAAACATGAGGCAGACTTCGCCTCCAGACCCAACGGGTGACAGCTTTCCCCGAGTGTTGGGTACACGCTGTGTAGTCGCTAAAGAGAATAGCGCCCGAAGAGAACTGAGTGGCGGCATTGCAGCGAAAAAGTCGCTCCAAGTGGACTGGTCCTCTGGTTGTTGCGGTCCGCGGGCTCTTTTGAGTTCCTGAGCGACAAGCCTGGATCTCAGTTTGTGACGGGCACCATCCCCCTTGTTGATGTCTACCCATCGCGTACCGATCACCTTCTCGTTTGCAGGGCGGGGTATGACTTCCCACACTCCCATCTGCCTGATGACGCTCACTTCCTCTGCCCGGGCTGCTTTAACACCTTCAGCTGGAAGCTCTTTCCCGGTGAGGTCGTCGTAGAAGGTCTCCGCAAGAACCTCTTCCACTAAACCATCAACCAGGTCGCAGGTAGGCTGTTCAACTCCTTCCAGGGATTCAATCCACGCCTTTCGCTCTCCAGCAATAAGCGTCTCAATCATTCCCTCGATGTTTTCAGCCTTGCGCTTAGAGCCTTCTGCTCGGTCCTCTGCAGGCCTCAGCTCGGACCTCTCTTGGTCTCCAGGGTCCTCGCTCTTCCGTTTGCTCGCCGAAGCAGCTTCCGAAGCGGTAACTGCTGGCTTCTTACTCTCTCGCGAAACGGAGACAGGCTCTGCGTTAGAGGGTTTCCTTTTCTCCACTTTCTTTGCTGCTTGCTCTGGTGGCCTGCTAGGTTGGCTGGGCTCGCTCGCCTCTGCACCTCCTGCCTCAGGCCTTTTCTCCTTCTCTGTCGCAGCCTTTCTTTTCTTTTCTTCTGCCTCGTGGACTTTCGTGAAGTACTCGGTCTCGCGCTGAGTCTCTCGCTCTAGGCGGGCTTGGCCCCGAGAGGTGTCCTTCAGCGCCTCTTGGATCCGCTTCCTACACGTCTCGTTGTGGTTGATACCTTGGCGTTCTCTGCCTTCGCGAATGGCGGCACAGGCCTCACAACCCCCAGTATAGCCAAACTGCTCCAGGTCGCTCTGTCGGATGTACATTCTCCGATACGTAGGCAACCGTTCGGCTTCTCCAGGTTTCGGTGGAAGCTCTGCTTGCTCGACCACAGGCTCTATCACGATAGGCTCCGGGAGTCTGTCTGCATCAGCGTTCGTGCTCTTCTCGGGATTAAGCTGCCAGGGAGTTCCTTTCACAGCCTTCAGCATCTCGAGATTGAACTGCTTGTCTGCAGGCTTCCTTCGGATAGACTGCACCACCAGGATACCCGAGGGCGTCCCGATAATCTTCTCCGAACTCGTAAGCCGCAGTCCTAGGTAGACTCCTTCTTGCCATCTGGCATCAAGCTTGCTTTTCGTCCTTCGGCGATAGTCCACGATTTCTCCAAAGCTTGGAAGAGCTACTTGCCAGGTTCGGCCCTTCAGCTTCTGAAACGGAGTCATGCCCTCGCTGTCCTCTTGAGAGAACAAGGTGTGGAGCACCCCTGCGTACTCGATCATCCAAGGGAAGATAACCGAGTCCTTGGGTAGTTCTCCTCCAGCATTTTGCTCCAGGGCATACTTCATCGTGCGCACTTGTCCCTGCACACGTTGCACTGAATTCTCAGCTGTGCCGTTGCTTTGCCCGTGAGAGTCTCCCTTGGGCGACTCTTCCAGAGTCAAGTCCTCTGGAAAACCAGCCTTCACAGCTGCCCCCAATGCCTTGATCGCGTTCTCTTGGTCCGTCTTCAGAACCAAGCGCTTGTACCCCAGCCAGTTCAAATCTCGAAAGCACCGCCTTTTCAGGATAGGTCGAACCTACCGTCCCTTTAGTTGGCAGCAGATGCGAGAAGATGGCCTTTGAGGCACGGTCCCTCAAGACAACTGTTGGCAGGCTCTTTCCCGGTACTCCCTTCTCAGAGAAGTACAGGTAGTCAGCTGATACCACAGGCACTGTGGAGTCTCGGCCCTCGTGGTGGTGCGAGTAGGCTCGCCCCCGTCCAGCTACACATGCTGGGCACCACGATCGGTAAGGGATATGTGTCACCTCGTGCTCAGCAACCATTTGAGGCGTGGGCACAGGCGGCGCTCGAAGTGGCTTCGCACGCTGTGCTTCTTCGCCTCCTGGCTGGGCGGATCCCGAAGCGGGCTCCGCCTGGCGTGGCTCACCATTCCCAAAGGGTCGGGCCTCGTCTTCTTCACCGTCAGAGTGGATCGGGAACACCTCCGGCTCCGGAAAGAGGTTGTAGTACTCAGTTGCGGCGCCTGCCGCCCTGCTTTCTTCTCCTCCTTCCTTCTTTTCCTTCCTCTCCTTTCCTTTAACCAAACCACCTAAACCAACCGGGGTTGGGGTCTCAGACACTCCTACCCTACAGGCACTTTCGGCCTTTTTCCTTCCTACCGCGCCAAAATGGCTCTGTTCTGGGTGAAACGAAACGGCTCTACAGCTACGGCTCCTACCTTCAAGGTCTTTTCCCAACAAGTTTTGCAGCGAAGCGCATCCCTCAGGGATGCTTAGCCCTTCCAGGGCCCTTAAAAAGCTCTTTGTTGGCTTGAAGCCTTTGGTAGCCGGGCTTACGCTGTAGGCAGCAGCCGTGGAGGGTGCGAATGCACCGGAAGCACACGGAAAACGACGCGCGAGGGCTCCCGCGCACCGGGAAGACCAAAGAACTCCCATTCGGGAGGTACAGCGTGGCCTCCTTAAGGCGTTGCCACGGTCCATCGCACGACCAGTGGAGAGGAGGCAGCGCTGCACAGCTGCCACGTTGAAGATGCATCTGCACCTGGTGGCCCTCCCATCCGAAGACGGGCCACTCAGAAGCAACTCCGTTGTGCCCAGGTTGGGCAGACTCTCCCCGCTCGCCGTGGAAAACTTAAGTGGCGAACTCACCTCCTTCAAGGCTGTGGCCCTCCCTTCCTCGAAGAGCTTCTGGTACACCTTGTCTGGCAGCACGTTGTGGCTTGCACCGCTGTCCAGGATCACCTCCATTGAGGGATGCTTCTGGTTGCCGAAGCGGCCCCATTCCCAGATAAGGAAAACACGGTTCCAACCCGGCCCTCCAGGCCGCCTTCTCCGTCGGGTGGGTCCTCTGGACCTCTTCCCCCCAGTGGCACGTGGTCTTCCTCGCCCTCGTCCTCCGAAAGGAGGGGCAGATACTTCATCCTCTCCCTCTTCTGGAGAAGACTCTTGGCGTAGGCAGCTGCTGCGGCCTTCGTGGCCTTTCCTCGTCGAGAGGTGCAACTCTCACAGTCGCTGTCCAGCAGCCTGCGCTCGGCAACGACTCCGACCGTAGCTTCTTCACCAGGGCTCTCCTGCCGCTTCGCAAAGCGGTCTGCGCCCTTGTGGGCTTCCACCAGGCGCCTCACCTGGCTCCTCTGGATGATCTTCTCCTTGGGCATTCTCTTGGCTTGCGCCTGCAGCGCCCCAGCCAACGCCGCCCCAAGAAGCTTGCTTCGGCCCATCACGGGCCTCCGGCCCGGGCTGTCTTCCGAACCCTGGGCCAGATCCTCCCTCTGGGCTCCTTGGTGGGTCCCGAGACGGGCCCACCACTGCCCTTCTTGCCGCTCTCCTTTCCACCCTTCTTCTGCTCCCCGGGCAACTTGCCGTCGTTACGCCACGGCGCCGTCCGGATAGCCTCGGCTTGCTGAGTGCTTGGGCTTGGCTCGCCGCCGGCTCAGCAGGCCGGTCGGTGCCCTTCACTTCCTTCTTGCCCTTTGCAGGTGGTGGCCCAAGCGGCTCCTCAGGCTTTGCCTTAGGCTTAGCCTCTGGCTTCGCTGCGGCCTTGGCCCTTGCGGTTCCCGAAGCGGGTCCCGCACTGCCGCTCGCAGCTTCCTTCCTCTTCTTCCTGGCCGCTTCCCTGCGGCGCTTGCCTGCACGTTCCCCAGGAGTCTTGGGCTTTTCTCGCCAACTCCTAACGTGCTCCTCCGGGACGTCGTCCCCAGCACCTTCTTGGCGAAGGTTTTCCCTAGCTCGCTTGCTCAAGGGTCTTGCCTCTCGATCGGTGTTCTCCGGCATCAGCGGGTAGGATGCCTTCTTGCCGTCGTCTTTCTTAAGCGGCTTGTTGTACCTCTTCTGCCACTCCTCGTCCAGCGCGACCCTTTCGCGAGCCCTCCCTTCGCGGGAGGCTTGCCTGTGCTTCGCCGCTCGCTGGCGGCTAAGCTCCTTCCTCTTGGCCAGCTCGGCTTTGCGTCCCGAGCGGACGTCAGCCAAGAAGCGTGCCGACGACTTCCAACTCCCAGCGGTAGCCGTCCTGGCAGCCCTCCTCTTAGCCACAAGCTCCTTCAGCTGCCGGGTGACCTCCTCGAGCTCAGCCTCCAGGTTGGCCCTTTCCTCGTCACTCTCAGCGCTAGCCAGGGCCCTGTTGAGCTCGGCCTGGCTTGCTTGCAGCTCGGACAACAGGTTGCCCTCGAGGAGCCGCAGCCCAACCCCCGTCATGGAGGAAGTGCCGCCAGCTGCCTTGGCTTTGGCACTTGCTCGTGCCTTGCCCCTTCTGGCGGGTCTCGAGACGATCCCGCGCCAGAAGCACTGGGGTCGGAACGCCAGGTTCCCCAGTCTTCGTCGTCGCCCTTTGGGCTCTTCTGCTTCTTTTCCTCTTTCTCGTTCTTCTTTTCTTTCTTTTCCTTTCTTTCCGGCTTCTTTGGCGTCTCGTCTCCCCTTCCCGGGTCCTCTCCTTCGCCTTCGAGCATTCCTATGAAGCCCACCTCGGCTTCGTAGTCCTCCTCCTGCTCGGGCTCCTCGCCGTCCGTTCTCCGCCTTCGAGTTCGCGGGCGTGCCCGCCCTTGCCTTTCCCGCCGCGGCCCCTACCTTGAGCCTTACCCTTCGGCGGTTTTCCTGCACTACCTCTGCCTCCTGGGGTGGGGTCTTTGGGGTAACCACTAGAACCACCTCCTGCATCCTTGTTCTTCCTTATGTCGATTGGGCTCCTGCAGTCCTTTACGAGATGGCCCACTTTGCCACACTTGTGGCACTTTCGGGTCTCCTTGTCCTTTCCTTTTCCCTTTCCTTGCCCCTTCAGTCCCGACCGGCAGTATACCTCCGATGCTGGTCCTCCCATCTCTCCACTGCAGCGATCAAGTCGCTCACTTCTGCAACTGGCTTCGTCGACATGAGCTGCCGCAACCACCTAAAGCTCGTGACCATGTCAGTCGGATCCAATCTCCCATGGAGCCGCCGGTACATGTCCAGTCCGGATCCTGCGCTCGAGTTCATCGTGATATCCCCTGGGGTGTCCATAGTCAAAGTACCCAGGACCACCTCCAGTTGTCGATTGAACTCCTGAACCTTTTCGGGAGTCACTCCTTCCACCAGCTGTTCCCTCAGCCTGGCAACGGCGATTTCCTCATCTTGGGTCCGAGCCCAAGTCAGGATTGCCCGGGTTTCCGGAAACTGGCTCGTGAGCCAAAGCTCCAGCCGGTAGTTCCACTGGCGCCATGCACGCGAGGCTTCTTCCAGTGTTCCTCCCAATTTCTCAGGTCGGCCAATCGCCTTTGTATCCACCACGGTCCCACGTGGCCTTTGGTTCTGCTCTAGCAGTCTCTGGAGTTGTCCCATCTGCTCCTGCTGCGTCTGCAGCAGCCTCATCAGGAGCTGCTCTCCCGTTGGTCCTTCTCCCGCCATCGCCTCTCTTTCCTAGGCAAATCCCGAACCGGGCCTTACCTTCCAAAGAGCCGCGTGCGTCGCCGTACGACGCCGCCCAGGATTCTCGAAATCCTATCCAGCAATCCCCGCGGGAAGTCCTGAAGCCTAAGCCCCAGATTGTGGAACAACCTTTGGTACTTTCGTACCTTCCGAAACTTGGCTAGCAGCCGAACCCAATTCCTCTGTGCGCGCTCTGGATCGTGTATCCGCCTTCTCCCCTCACGAGGTCGTGCCCTTCTACCACAAGCGGCACGCAAGAGAAGTGTAAGCACCATCAACCAGGTGCTCCGCTACCATGAAACGCTATTTTAGCAACCGCGCACTTGAGCCAAAAGGTAACGTCAGTGTGAAACAACTGTACATGAGACCCATACCCAAACTATACCCCAAATCCAGTCAGTATGCACGTACATATATATATATATATATATATATAAATATACATGGCATGACATGGCATGGCATGGTATGTGGGTCCCTTTTGGGGTACCCTAAATATTACAAGATTGACAACCACCCATGTATACAAACACACACTCATACATCTTGGCTGTCTATGCGTGTATGTGTATACCTGCGCGCATATTGAAACTCTTCCGTACTAGCGGCCCCATATTTACTGAAAGTCCTATCTCCCCATCTAGGCATTCTAGCGACCTGCTTACACCCGAGATGACAGCCATTCTTCGGCCCGGAATGCAAGTTGCAAGACACATCCAACTTACAAGCCTAAATAGCTAGTGATACTACTTTTCAGGGGTCTTGATTGAAAATAGGAATAGTCTACTCTACACCAAACCCTATTCCTACCATGAAGGTCCCTATATCACGGATTTCAAGCAGGTGGAGCTAGGAAGATCTCACAATTGAGGGCGGCTGACAGTCTTCTTTGCAAGGGCCCGCAGACTCGCAAGACAGGATCTCCTGGCCCGAAACCGAAAAACCCAAATCCTAAACCCTAAATTTAGGTTTAAGTTTAGGGTTCTCCAAATCCAAAACTCTAAACCCTAAGCCCCAAACTCTAAATCCCAAGCCCTAAACCCTAAACCCTCAGCACCACGAACGCTTGAAGCAGTGCCAGAGCCTTCCAGGCCGCCTTGCGCACAGCTTCGTTCCGGGCCTGGCCGGCCCGGAATGCCTTTCAGAAGCGGAGACAAAACGTGGGGACACAACACAGAGGGGTCCTCTGACGAAAGATCAAAAGAGGGCATCACCATTCGTTGAATGATTTGAATCAGGTTTTCCGGGTAAGACACAACAAATGCGGGCCTCGATGAATGATCAGAATAACGATTTCCGTTGTTTTACAGGCTGTACAGAGTTTCAGCCAAGGGGCTTTCATGAATGATCAGAATATGGTGTTAACATGGGTTTGCAAAATCGAGTCTGGGGGCCTGAATGATTAGAACAGGGTTTTGGGCACAATGGACCTGCCTACCCTAAAATCCCTAAGACCCCAAACCCTAAACCCACAAACCCTAAACCCCTCTACACCCCCAAGCCCAAGAGTCCCTTTGATCTCACTAAACCCTTTAAACCGCTAAGTCCCTGAACCCAAAACCCCTTCACCTCAAACACGCTTGTAGAATAACCCAGAATAGGAGCTTTCACCAATCAGAATAGTGTTGTGCGGTATACTATACTAGAGTGGATAGTAGGAATGTGACAACTTCTGTATCACCCTGCCAGGCCTTCATGCCGGCGTCGGTGTAGAGTATCCTTGGTGCGGATGTCGAGCTCATTCTGGCGCACTTTCTGTTGTGCCACGAAGATGAACATATGGGGTTTAGGGTTGGTAGGGTTTGTGGTTCAGGGTTTAGGATTTCGGGTTTACAGTTTAGGGTTTAAGGTTTACAGTTCATAAATTGTAAGTCCTAGGGCTTGGGGATTCCCGCGGGTCGGAGGTTGCGAAAGCCTTCATCTGCCTGAAGTCGCTAACGAACCTACGATTTCCAGAAGCCTCCAAAATCGTTGGACTCAGGAATAGACCTCGGTTTAAGGTTTAGGGCTTGGGTTTTTGTAGGGTTTAGGGTTTAGGGCTTGGGTTGTTCTAGGGTTTAGGGGTTGGAGCTTAGATTCTTTTATAGGGTTTAGGGTTTAGGGGTTGGGGCATAGATTCTGTTGTAGGGGGAATATTAGTATGGTTTCAGAACGGCTCCTTACTGCGCGGGTTTGCGAGTCTCTGGGTCGATCCACACCCTGCATTCTTCGGTCCCAAAGCACCCAGAGAGCCCAATGCCCCTTAATTAGGGAATATAGTATAGCTTAACTCATAATCTGAAGCCCCTTGTGATTTAAGGAATATAGCGTAAATCATAATATGAAGCCCCTTATAGTCTAAGACTAAGATATATTGCTTAATTTCGGGGGGTATTGGGCTCTCTGGGCATGTCCAAGCATGCCACGGTGCAATAACCGCTTCTCCCATAAACCCGCGGAGCTTTGATCCCTCAACCATATCTACAGGGTCATACCCTACCCCCTTTTTTAAGGTACCTACTGTTCTGTATAAGAGAACCAAACCATAAAACTAAGTACCCTAAGAAAGGGACAGGGTTGACCCTCTAGGTATAATGTAGGAACCTGATCAGGAAACCTTGGGTCCTTATGAGGGTTCCATATGGGTAGCTGTCAAAATTAGGGTACCGTTTTGGGTGCCCTAATATAGCACGGCACCTCATAGTTAGGGTGCCAAAATGGGGCCATATTTTTGACAACTGCCCATACGGATCCTAATATATTGGGGTTAAAGGGCCATGGTTTCTTAATCAGGTTCCTACCTTACCTTAACCCCTGTAGCCCCTAAACCCAAAATCCCTCACTACCCTGACCCCTGAACCCAAAATCCTCTACCCTAAACCCTATTCCACGAAACCCCAGACTAAATCCCTAAAACCAAAATCCCCAAATCCCTAAACCCGAATCCAACCCCCGAAATCCTCAGACCATAACCCCCAAACCCCTAAAAATCCTTAAACCCTCTTTTAGCCCCACTCCGACCCACTCCTAGACCCCAAATCCCGAAAACCAAAACCCCTAAACCCAAAAGCCCTAGAAAGCAGCCGCTACCTCTGAGCTGCCGGCCGATTGTTGCCCAGACGCTCCTGCTCCTCACCGCCATAGAGCTCCAAATCATGCATCACCCTTGGAATAAGGGTATTTTAGGGTCTAGGGTTTAGGGGATTCTGTAGGGGTTATAGGGTACTAGACCCAAGAGGCTTATAAGGCAACCTGATCATGCATCACCCTTGGATTCTGTAGGGGATATTAGGGTTTAGGGGTTTTGGGGATGTAGGGTTTAGGCTTAAAGGGCTAGGGACTTTGGGTTTAGGGTTTAAGTGCTTAGGGTATAGGGTAGATGGGTAGTTCTAAGAAGGAGCCTAAACGGGACCTGGAACTACCCTTAGAGGAGCTTTACGGTTTAGAGTTCGGATCCTGGAGTTTAGGATTGACGGTTTAGGGTTTAGGGTTTAGGGTGTGTCGACCAAACTGTTGCGGTAAAAAGAATGTAGGACGGACGTCAAAGCTTTTTTGCGTAAGAGAGTTCGTCACGTCCGTGGACCTCGATATAGATCCCACCACAACCCACCCGGAGCATTTGTCCTTAGCTTAAGTCCTTAAGCGTCCAACACGAAGGAAATACCCATGCAGCTACAGGGAGGCGGACAGTCTTTCCACCGTTACGGCGGCGATGACAACTCTAAGAAAAGAAAGGAGGAGACCTCGAGATTCGCACCTGCCCTGCATTAAGAAGCACATTTTATGACCAGAATTTGGTACACCAAAATCAGCACCAGTTTTCCAATCGCCGAAGGTCAAGGCAAAGTCTAAAGCAGCCACACGAAAAGAAAGGCCGTGTTTTGCTGCAGAATGTGGCTTCGGCCGCTTTGGGCACCCATAGGCACCGGATGGTTTAGAGCAGGCACACGAAAAGAACGGCCCTGTTTTGCTGCAGAATGTGGCCCCGACCTGCTTGGGCACACACGAGCACTCGAGGGTCCATTTTTGATCCGAGCTCCGAGGGACGGAGTTTAGGGATTGGGAAGGCGGCTAAGAGCAGCCACACGAAAAGAACGGCCCTGTTTTGCTGCAGAATGTGGCCCCGACCTGCTTGGGCACACACGAGCACTCGAGGGTCCATTTTCTGATCCGAGCTCCGAGGGACGGAGTTTAGGGATTGGGAAGGCGGCTAAGAGCAGCCACACGAAAAGAACGGCCCTGTTTTGCTGCAGAATGTGGCCCCGACCTGCTTGGGCACACACGAGCACTCGAGGGTCCATTTTTTGATCCGAGCTCCGAGGGACGGAGTTTAGGGATGGGGAAGGCGGTTAAGAGCAGCCACACGAAAAGAAAGAGGGCACCTCGAGATTCGCAGCCGGCGTAGTCTAAAAGGCACATTTTATGAACAGAATTTGTCACTTGAAAACCACCAGCAATTTTCCAAATTTTCGGAGGCAGGAATGTGGAAAATCTAGGATTTAAGAGCTAGTTGTCCTTTTCCGAAAAGGACAAGCGCGACTAAATGTAGAAATTCTCGATTTTAGAGCTGGCACACGAAAGGAACGGCCCTGTTTTGCTGCAGAATGTGGCTTTGGCCGCTTTGGGCACCCATAGGCACTGGATGGTTTAGAGCAGCCACACGAAAAGAACGGCCCTGTTTTGCTGCAGAATGTGGCCCCGACCTGCTTGGGCACACACGAGCACTCGAGGGTCCATTTTTTGATCCGAGCTCCGAGGGACGGAGTTTAGGGATGGGGAAGGCGGCTAAGAGCAGCCACACGAAAAGAAAGGGGGGCACCTCGAGATTCGCAGCCGGCGTAGTCTAAAAGGCACATTTTATGAACAGAATTTGTCACTTGAAAATCACCAGCAATTTTCCAGAATTCTGGAGGCAGAATGTGGAAAATCTAAAATTTAGAGCTGGTTGTCCTTTTCCGAAGAGGACAAGCGCGACTAAATGAAGAAAATCTTGATTTTAG